AGATTTGTTTTAATTATATTTTGAAATATTATAATTGATTAATTCAATATATTTTTTTAGTCATTTTACATTATTATCAGCTAGTTTTGTCAAACATGATTTGTTCATCAGCTAGTTTATCAGCTACGAACTAACTTATCAACTATCAGCTACCTTGTTAGCCACCAGCTAACTTATCAACTAGTTTGCTAAACATAGCCTAAACCTATTCGCTACCAAATTAACTTTAGAGTAAATTACGTTTTTAGTCCAATTCGTTTATTAAAAATGCTATTTCATCTCTATGGTATACAAATTGTGGTTTTCATCCCTATGATTTATAATTTATTATTGTTTTGATCATTGGTTTACAATTCTTTACTGTTTTAGTCCCTTGTACTTAAAATGTAGACATTAGTCCAAGAACGAAAATAGCAATAAATTGCAAATCATATGGACAAAAATCATAATTTCTAAACCGTAGGGACGAAAATCATAATTATAAACAAACCGTAAGGACGAAAATCGGAATTTACTCTTAACTTTATATTCAGTGAACTAGTCACTGTAAAAGGTAACTAATAAGTTATATGATAATACAAAATGACGTTTTAGAAAATAAATTGGAAAAAACAAGGGCATAATTGTAGAAAAAAATATTAGGGGTCGTTTACCAAACACTTACCCGGTAAGTGTTTACCGGTAAAATTTAACCATATTATTTACTTACCGGGTAAGATTTTAATCCACCAAAACGAAATTGTATGCAACAATTTACCCGGTAAGCGCTTACCATGGTAAGAGTCGCCGCCCTCACTTACCGGGTAAGACTCTTGGTCCTTGTCTCGCTCTTACCGGGGTAAGATTCTTGGTCTTTACCCTATTATAACCAAAGTGTTTATAGATTCAAGAAACTCATGTTATAACTTGCATTATAAAAGGGAACAAGTTAAGACATATAGCAAGATTGAAACTTTGAGTCTCCAATTTCATACATCAAGAACAAACCAGATCAAACAAATTAAAGTTAGTCCACTGCATTTTAGCATGGAGAGTCTCTCTTAATATATATTGCTTTATTGGATGAGAATATATTGGGGTGTCCCTTCTGCCTGTAACTTCTTATCGATCAATCACGCTCGGTAGATGATGTTGTTTGGCTGGTTGACTTCCCATGTCCCTATCCGCTTTCAATCCAATGCATGTGGTAAAGCAATGACGAGTCCGTTTTCCATTTCCCTAGGGCGTTTGTTATCAGGATTTGTGTTGCACTTGGGACCAAGATTGGGTCATTCCTAGTGGTGGGTGTAATAGTCTGGTTATTATTTTTGTTATGTATATATATTTATTTATAAATATATATATATATATATGTGATATATGTATATATGTTATGTATATATGTGTGTGTAGGAGTAATTAAATAAAGGAAGAAGGGAGAGGGGTCGGCTAAATAAGCCGCCTCTCAATTTCTTTGTGGGTGTATATGTATATAAAGAATTTTGTGAAGGAAAAACACACAAATCACACTTTCCATATTTAGAATTCTCTCTGAAAGTTTTGAAGAGTCTGCATAAGAAGAAGAAGAAGAAGGATTTAAAAGCTTTGAATCTCAAATTCTAAAGGTGAGTGTATTTGAGCTTTGAATATGAATTGCTTTATACAAATTAAAAAGCATTTCAACTGATTATTATGTGTTTGGAGGCATTTTTAATGATAGATATTTGTGTATACCGGCCAACTAGTGTCCGGATTGAAATCCGGATATTTAAACCGGATAAGCCTTGAGAGGTTTAT